CTGTTATTGCAAGTCAGGTCAATTATCAAAGGCTACACAATTATTAAGCCTTATGATTGTCTTGGGAGTTCCTTCCTCTGTCACTGTTTGGAGCATTTTGATTGATGGATATTCTAAATCCGGCAAACTTGATTTTGCCGGTCAATTGCTTGCTAAGATGGTCTCTAGTGGACATAAGCCTACTGTGGTAACATGCACAACTTTAGTAAAGGGATATTTGGAATCTCATAGGCCTAGCCATGCATTCAAGATCCTAGACACCATGAAACATAAAGGATGCTACCCTGATCTGGTCATGTGCAACATGCTAATAGATTGTCTCTCAAAAATGGGGAGCTATGATGATGCAATTATCATTTTCTGTAGTTTAGGTGAACGTGGACTGACCCCTGATTCTTATACACTTGCCTCAATCATGTCAACTTTGTGTTTATGCAAGGAGTTCACCCTCTTGCCTGTACTAATCAGTGGATTAGAGATAATACCCGATTTAGTTGTGTGTAACTCATTTCTGAGTTTCTATTGCAAAGCTGGTTATCCTCGTGGCGCTGTTGAGTTTTATAATGACATGATGCATAGAGGTTTCCTACCCGATAACTATACATTTGCTGGATTATTGAGTGGGTTATGCAGGGTAGGCAAAATTACTCAGGCAGTTGATGTGTATCAAGGAATCATCAAGAGTCAACTCAGAATTGATGCTCATATTCACACTGTGGTCGTTAATGAACTTTTTAGAGCTGGTGAATTTCGTCAAGCTATCAGATTATTTCAAAATGCCGTGGCCGAGAAGTCCCAACTGGATGTTGTTTCATATATTGTTGCCATTGACGGACTAGTCAAAGCCAGTCACGTAGAGATGCGTATTTTTTATTTAATGAGATGAAGGACATTGGTTTGGCTCCAAATATATACACTTACAGTGTGATGTTGTCTGGATTGTGCAAGGATGGAGATCTTGGAACAGTAAAAAAAGCTGCTTGCCGAGATGATTGATGGAGGCATTAAGTTCAACCATATTAATTTTAGGTTGATGAAGAACATTTTGAGAAAAAGGTGCCATTCAAGCTTAGTCCCCAAGTTACTATGGGAGTTGTGGGATTCTGGGTGTGTTCCTAAGGATACACCGGCACCCGTGTTTGATAAAGATGTTTATGATTGGAATGCTAAGGATTTGCATTTTGATTACCCCTCGCTTGTTCGTGACGACACATCCAGCTCTGAAGACATTCATGATGTAGCTGCTTCGGTTGGTTGATCGTGGATGATTCTCTGTCGCAAAGCTTCAACTGATTCCCGCCCTGAAGTTTGTTTTGAATTCTCTATGAGAATGAAAAGCACCTCGGTCAGAGAACATTCTCCCTTTTTCCAAAAACCAAAATCATGTCGCATCGCGGTACACCTATGTAATTGTGGTAAGGTACACTACTACAACATTGACATTATACATCGCCCATTACACAACGGTTATCTAAAAAATGCTGTCTAAACCCTCCCCTAAAAAAGCATGTGCTTCTCTTTTGTGAAATACGCGCAGTAATTTTTTTTTCCTTTCACACATCGTATTTTTCAGATTGCGCTGTGTAATCTGGAGCATTATTACTATCTCTTTTTAGCGGAGAAAACCTAAACCACCAGTATATTCTCTCGTTGTTCTCTGTTTTCTCCCAATTAGAAATTAAGCAGAGAAAACCTAAATTGCCGTCTCCAATTTTGATCTCGCCACCCATGGGAATACTCTGATGGTGCTAGGGTAGATGATGGCAACCTTGAAGCAAGAACTTCCCACTCCCTTGAGCCTTGAGGTATGTTTTCTTTCCCAAATCTTTTAATTTCTTATATGTTTTGATTTTTTTCACTATAGGTATGTGATGTGAACTATTTTTATTTTATTGATTCATGTTGGAAGAGAACGTCAATGGGACTATTATCGAAGAGAAAGTTGAAGATGTCTGCAAGTTGTTTGATGAAATGCCATAAAAAAGCCAGTTTTGTAAAACTCTTCAGTTCAAGAAGAATAGGGATGCTGACTCTAAAATGAAGCTCTTCAAGTCGAGAAAACCCATCCCAACAGAGCAGTATCCTTAATGAAGACGTGCTTCCTGTTGAAGAGGTATGGGGTTTTTGCTTGATTGGCTATTTTATTGGAAAGTAGCCAGGGTTTAAGACAAAAACTGATTTATGGATGGCATGTTCCCTATGAGGTCATCCCTCAACACAAAGGATGAATCTTTCTTAAATTTGAAAATAAATAAGATAGGATCAAGGTTGATTCCAATTGTCCCTATAAGATCAACAACCAAAGATAGGATCAAGCTGAACATTGACTCTAACGTTTTCACTAGAATACACAAAATGCTCAGGGTTTTGGAAGATGAAAAAGGCCACTTTTAATAAGGAATGAAAACAGTCTCTAGGAATGCATCATATTGTGGTGCCCCCAATTTTCAGTCTTGTTCAACTTTTTCTGTTATTATATCTTTAAGTGCTTAGATTTTCTATGTCGCTGGTTATTGCATATTTTATTAACTAATTATTTTCATTTAGAGAAACTGAGCGCAAAGTTATGATCCTGATTTGCTGGAAAGAATATAGTTGACCATCATCAAAAACCTGATCAAGTATCACCCAGTGTGTTTACCTAATTCATTTCCTTATCCTTTGAATCCTAAAGCTAAAAAGAACAGGACTGGATTGCATCATTAGTATCTTTCTCTGCACTTCGTATTTCCCATGATTGTTAGATTCTCTCCTTGATAATTGCTAGCTTATTGTGCCATCAGGTGTCTAGGGAGTGGCTTGCGATGGGTGAAGCATTGGGAATATAAGTACCAGGAGGAACTTAAATATGTTGTGGTATTCTCATGCTAAATTTTAGTTTGTTATATTTTTGAACTTTCATCGAAGTTCTTTTTCAGTAATATAGGTTGACCTAACATTTTAGCATACATGAGCCTTTTTTTCGTTCTAGCATGCTATATGTCGAAACTGTTGATCGATCTCGGCTACTAATGGAAATAATCAAAATTATGGGGTAATGGGTTTTTTATGTTTCAACAGATTAAAATATACTCTGTAGGATTTTTAAGGCAGGATGGATGCATCGTTATTTTTTATGTTGTGCGACTATAACCGGAGCTTTCAAGCACCATCAAGTGATCAACAAGGATTGATGGTACGTGTTTTCAAACACACTTTTACAAGAAATAAAGAGGTTAGATTCTTTTTTAAGTTTCAGGTTAGATTCTTTTTTAAGCTTCAGGTTGTGATATGTTATTCTATTTGCTTATTTGTATTTCTCTCTATGTTTTTTGCTTGAACTGTCGATGATGATATTGTCTGGAAAAAGCCAACTTGTAAGGGTTCTGTAGCGTATACTTTTCTTGTATGAAGTGAATTGTAGCCCACAGCAGATCGAACACTTCCCATTCTTCCAATTTGAGTTGTACCTAGAATTAGTTTTAATTTTTAAAT